CTAAGTAAATACTAAATGTAGCATGTTATAGATGACCGTGTTATTTTCTTCATGCAGCCACCTCATGGGCTACTGTTTACAAATTCTGAGTAAATACTAAATGTAGCACATTATAGATGACCGTGTCATCATTTTTCTTCATGCAGCCACCTCATGGGTTACTGTTCACAAATTCTGTGTAAACACTAAATGTAGCATGTTATAGATGACCGTGTTATCATTTTTCTTCATGCAGCCACTTCATGGGCTACTGTTTACAAATTCTGAGTAAATACTAAATGTAGTATGCTATTATTTTTCTTCAGGCAGCAACCACACCACTGTACAATCTCCAGTTTCAGTATGAATATACTGTTCTTAGGAATCAAGTTCTTCAAGCCCACAATCAACTAGTTCATGCTTGTTCTTGTCTCTGGACATCGCCTCCTTCAGCCATTGCTGCATCTGTAGCCATGACTAGTAGGGATGAGCTGCAGAATTGTGGCAGAATTGTAGCTGAGGTTTGTTTTAATATCTTCCTTTAATAAATTTAATTTGCTGTCATTGACAAAAAAATAAAAGATAGATATTTGACAGTAGTTAAACTTGACACTTATAAAATCATTTGTTAGTAAGTGTTGGTTTATTTATTCTGTTACCAAGTTGATTATATAAGAAATCAGTTCAGTTGAAGTTACATATTGTTTTGTATTGTAATACTTTTGTCATTAGAAGTTGAAATAGCATTTGGAATGTGATTTTGTTTTATAACTCGTGATCTTTATTTGAAATTCGACATTATATGCTGAATAGTTAAGGAAATGTGCCAAGGACTTTCGATCTCTGGCTGACCAGTATGGATCCCTGTATCAGTCTGCTTTTAATGCTGATCGAACAACTTTAACTACAATTCAAATGTATCCTTTGTTTAGGTCATTTTTTCAGCATGCTTGGTTAGTCAGTTGAAAAGGCACCATAATGTTTTGCAATTTAGTTTTCTTCTAGTTTGTTTCTCTAATTTTTATTTGTAATGCTTTCTGTGTGCATGAAAATTGTCTAAGATGTTCAATTAAAATTTAGAAACTTCATACATTACAGTTGATTAGATAAAGTGTATGACAATCAAAATGTAGGAGAAAAACTAGCACAGTAATGATTTGAAGGAACGTCTTTAAAGATTTGTGAATGTTCAGTAATGCATCTTGTCCAACATTCCATGACATTAGTATTAGGTACTTCTTGCATTGTAATCATTAACTTCTGTCCCATAAGTGTTTGTTCATATTCATTATTGCATTTACTTATTTTGACTAAAGAACAAAAGATAGTTAACTCTGATGTAATAGTCATTTCCAGATGTAATTTTCTTCATGTTACAAATTGGTAAAAAAAACAGAAAAATCAGTATTTGTTATTGTGTTCAAAATATTGCAGTCACATAAAAAACAAAAACAGCATTTGAAACAAACAATTAAGAATATTTTGGTGTGAAACCTATTTAATTATGATTTTTGCCTCTGTCTTTGCCAAAGCTATCAGTAACTGTTATCTAAAGTCATATTTGATTGTGCATTATTGAAGAATTATGTATTTATCTGATAAGTAAACTATCAAAAATGAGCCTGTTCTGATGGTATGTAGTTTAGATAAATGCATAATGAATCCCTTGATTTTTTCCTGTACTAGTATCTTTCTTTCGAAAGCATGTCAACTTTTGAAAGCAATAGACTATTCAGTTGTAAAAGGATCATTTCCTATACTGTAATATTAAAGTCAGCAACAGTGTTGTCTGCTAATGGTCCAGGCTATTGAACGTGTGGCTCAGTACAACCAAGGAATGGGGTAAGTTAGTATGACAGGACCAGTGAATGGTGTGAAAATAAATACATGGCCTAAAGATAAAGGAAAAGAACTACATGATTATAGAACTGTGTTAAGCAATCCAGTAAAGTTATGCACAACAGGGTAGGTAGTTTTTAATATACTTTAATTACCAGTGATAATTAGTAACAGAGTAGGTAGTTATTGTACTTTCTGGACTATAAGACACTTTTTTTTTCTGGAACAAAAAAAGTCACCTTAAACTACCCTGTGTCTTTTGGTCTGAAGGTTGTCCCAGTGGTAAAGTCCATGAGTGAAATCACCAGTAGGAAGAGAATAAGTGACCTTGAACTTTTGTTCTAAATCACTGCATGCCATTGTGCAACCTCACAGTTAGATAGCATGCACAGATTAAGTAGCACATGTTTTAAGAGTTAGGAACAATAATCAGTTCATTGTGTTTGTTTTTGTAAAATCTGGCGTGATTCCAATGGGTAAAAAACAAGAAGGTTTTCTTGTATGATAGGATCCGAACTGGAAATGGTAAAGTATGCCACAGAACATGGAAATAGGGTAACTGCATTGTTGTTTTAGTGTGCTGCACTGCTGTTTTTGTTCCAGTATGGTACAGTAAATGTAAATATCAAATATTTGCAATAGTGTATTTTTTTCCTACTTATTTCCTTTTAAAATCTTGGTGCATCTTATGATCTGGGAAATATGGTAAGTGGTGATACGGTAGGTAGTTTTTAATGGGCTGCAATTACTAGGGGATGAGCAAGTTTGTACAATAGGAACAGTGAATAAAATAAAAAAGATAATGTTTTTTTTTCCTTACTGCTAGTTTTCTCAGAAGTCTTTATGTTAATGAAAATGTTTTAATCTTTAACATCCTTTTCACCACAAGTTCCCCTATAATAAAGTGCATCTATCTAAAAACTGTAAGGATATAACTGGTAATGAAAAGGTCTAATGTATTACTGCAGTGAAAGTATTATGTGTTGGAAAAAGTGAGAAAATGAATACCACCAAGGCAAATTAGTGGTGGCACTAAGATAACCAAGTTGTTAAAATATATATGTTATTAGGTTGCGTGTATTTAGGATATATATATATATATATATATACACACACATACAACTAAAGTATTATAAATAATTAATTAAGAGTTAAATAAATAGAGCAAGAAAA